TCTCCATCTCGGTTTCACACTAGTCTGCTCTACTTGCGCACTAAGTGCATTAAGGGCATTATTATGAATATGACTGTTATTACTTTCATGGTTATTGTTACTGTTATTGTTACTCTTGTTTTTGTTCTTATCGTCGTCATCATTCGTATAACAATTGCCATTATTGTTATTGTTACTCGCATTGTTCTCTGTCTCTCTCTCTCTCTCTCTCGCTCTGCTGTCTCGCTCTCTGCAGTGACACACACACACACACACACGCCCACACCCGTGCATGGAAAGCTGATGCACGCAATTCCTCATTGCAGGCTGCTGCGGATATCAGAGATTTGCCAGGCTCGGATGCTTTTGTTTGCTTTCCAGACCCTGGGCCAGTGTAGCATCTGGGATCTCGGCTTGTCGATGTTGCTTTTAGCTGTCTTTTTTTGGTTGTTGATTTTACCCTTTACTGTACCTTCTTCTGTGTAAGAGGTCGGTTCATTCACACGAAGCACGTTCTACTCCCGAAAAATAATGCTTGGAGCGCTCCGAGTCTTTAGATCTCATGACAAGACACATGTGGGCGGAAGATGTGCAGGTGCCGAGCACCTATGCTTCTGTGTCAATGTTCCGCAGAATCCTGGGCAAGGCAGGTCTGTCCATGGCCAAGCTATCTCCTTCTTTCTCTAAACAGACGAGGCCTGCAAAAGCCGAAAAGTTCCAGAAGCCGGGGCCAAACTTCATTGCGGGCCTAAGTCAGAGAGCATTATTATGTTAGATCGCTTGTGCTGACCAGTGGTGACGGACAGGGCAAGAGGAGCACTGTTTGCGGCTGCTGTGCGTGGTCTCAATTTTGCTGAGTTTTGTGTAAAAGCAGTGTCGGAATATGGGTTTCCACTTGTGGCGGAGTGCCAGCCCGCGCGCTCTTACCACCAGGCCCTGGATATCTGCACTCTGATCTACCCGTTCCTGCCGCGCAGGAACTCGCCGGGCCTGCCGACTTCTCTTGTTGCGGCCTCATGCGAGTAGATTCTGATCAGGGTGTTCAGCCATCATGCCGGTTATAAAGTGGTCCCTTCATGACTTGCCACGTTACTACACTACAGATATCCACCGCCATGCACAGTGGGTGGAGATGCTGGTGTCGGTCGTTGGTGATGAGGCAGGTTGGGCAGCAGGAGGACCGATGGAGGATGCCAGTAAAGCACGATGTGGACTCTCCTTTGTTGCACCTGAAAGCCCAGAAGGCGGCATAGGCATCAAACAAAAATTTGATAAGCATCAAAAAAAATGATAAGCATCAAGAAAAATTTGATAAGCATCAAAAAAATATTTGTAGACAGAGTAGTAGCACTAGTAGTAGTAGTAGTAGTAGTAGTAGTAGTAGTAGTAGTAGTAATTTGCCCTCTGCGCCCAAGGCCTCGCCTGGTGCTCGAGTCCTGACAGGCTCCGCTCCTCTGGTCCTCTGGTCCTCTGGTCCTGCGG